TTATAAAAAATTGAAACGGGGACAAAAGGGAAGTTCGTTATAGAGAAATTTTACTTAGTGGTCGTTATAGAGAGGGTCGTTATAGAGAGAGTAGACTGTATATAGTAAAATCGGCAATATTATGTTACATAATAAGTGACTTTATTTTATTAATCGCATGTAATATGACAGTTTTGGGGGTTAACATAGTATTTAGGCTTGATATCCCCATGGTAACATGACATATCAATTGTAACTCTGTGGAAAAAGGTTTTAGCTTCAAAACTACGATTTGTTTTTTTTTATATTTTCGTTTTGGATCTACAAGACCAATAAAAAGTTGCGGGGTTAGGTGTCTTGCACTATATGTGGTTTGTCGTTTTTGAATTCAATAAAATTTATCAATACACAATAGGCAGGAGATAATTAATTTCAAATGCGGTAATCTGGTTGATACAAATATTTATTAATAACCTCGGCATCAGAGTGCTGGCACCAAATATATTAATAAAATTGGGCTTAGTGTTGATAATATATATGATTTTTCATTTCAATAATTATTTAAATTAAAATTTTTCATCAACAGTTAATCACTTTATCTTTTATCAAAATTTTAACTTTTCCCACTTCAAATTTATAATTTATTGATGAATATTTTCCTTACAGTTGGCATGAACTTACAATGAAACCTCCTAATATATAATAATAATATTATAATATAAATTAAAAAAAAGGCTTGAATTTACCAATTTCTCTAGAGCCTTGCGGATGCTTCAATTATTGCAATGTTAAATTTTCACAAAGAAGTTAACGATCTTTGTAAAAGTTGTGGTATACTTTTATGTTTTGTTCAATATATTTATGCCTTGCTGCTTCTATATCAACAACAGGCTTCTTTTCATGATTTAGAGTGTGATTGCAAAAAATAATAATAAAATCATATCACGGGATTTTTTGTAAAAAAATTTTATATAATGAATCACACTATACAGTGGAGTTTTTTGTCAAACCGACTCTTTCTTATATCGAGCGCCGACTGTGTACTATCTTTTATGGAAATTTGGTATCCATATCTTTGAAACGGAGGAGGAGTAGTGGTTTGAAAACGATATGTTTACTATGTTCTTTACGTAAATTTCGGAAATTCTGCAAGTGATATGCAGATCACAAAAAATCACATAACCAATTGTGGTGTTGATCATCGAAACATATGTTACATCATATATTTCAACACATTGTAAATATTGACAACCAAATTCAACCAACAATATATTTTTTTGAAAACATGAATTATAAAAAGAAATTTCTATTAATTTATCAGTTGCAATGTAAATTTTTATGGTAAAATTTAATAATAA